CTCACGCTATAGCAGCTGCAGCAGCTTCACTGTCTGGCAGGATGCTGCCAACAAAATATTTTTGCCAAGTAAATGCTATTGACTGATGACTATCTCAATCATATGGAAACACCCAGCAACTGAAGTGAGGAGAAACCAGCAAGCCACTTTTAAGGATCCCTATATGAAGGGTTGAAAGGGGCAAAGGATATACCAGTATGGGAACTGGCTTATTTCCGAAGACAGCGTGAAGAAGTACAATAAAAAAAAATACAGAATTTAAAAACAAAATATATTAAAATATCCTAAAGTATTAAAGTATTATTAAGTATATAAAGTATATATATAAAGTATATTAAAATATCCTAGCTCCTGCAACAGATGGCATTTCAGAAACTTTTAGTGGTACTTCTACCATCTATTAGACCTTGCCATCCTGGCATAATTTTTCTTTCCTGTAGGAGTTAAAGCACATTACTAACCTCTTTTCATTCTCAGATCTTTTGCTTCTAGTCAGATAAAAGAAACAGGAAATTATGATGCACAGCAGATTCTCTCTGCTGCTCCTAAGATTCAAAGTTCATTTGGGGTTGGGAGTCGAAGCTGTAGAAGTGAAGTGCACAGTAAGATTACAAGGTTTGCCCCTGCCCTTCTGGCAGCATATGAAGTCCGTATGAAGCATATGGAGTCCCAAGAGCTTGGAAGCATCTTTCTTAGAATCAACAAATGCAGTATACATGAGGCAAGAGGGAGAAAGCACCATTCTCTGAAAATGTGACCAGGAAATATGAAGCATAGTTCATACTAACCCATAAAATTCATGCACTGTATGAAAACAAGAAACATGTGTTAAATAGCTATCTCTATGTATAACAGCCAATAATATCTCTCAAATAAATCCTGGGAGAATTCAACGGCAGCATTGCTACTACGGTTTTCAACAGACTGGCTAGTTAAAGTCCAAAGGTGTCTTCAGGGCAAGGAATAAAAAATATGAAGGATATATAACCCAAGATAACACTATCTGGTGTAAAGAGGAAAACTCAAGATCTACAGGACATGTGTGGGTTAAGGGTGGACATACCTCAGATGCTAATTGTCACCAAAGTAAAGAGGGGGAAAAAAAACAAAAAACAAAAAACCAAACAGAGACTGCAAAACATAGCTTCTTTCCAAAAAAACCATGGAGTGGAGTTTTATAGGTCTCTCTGTGATTAGCATCCAAGTTAGTTTCCTTATAGAGGACAACTCCTATTCAGCTTTCACTGGTAAATCAGCATCACACAAGGAACCAAATGTGTAAAACCCAAGAGACCACCTCACCCTGTTATATCCAGAACTGTCCACAGGACTTTAAATTCGTGTGTTATTTATGTGTGATCAGCAAGTGCACTGGGCTGAATTACTCTTGGGTCATGATCTAGGGATCTTTAATTCTTTAACTAGGACAAGGTGGGAAGCAAACTCATTAGCAACAGAATACTAAGTTTCTTTAAGATTGACATGAGATTAATAGAGAGTCTACTAACACACCTTGGAAAATCAGTCTGTTCATATGCAACCTGCCAATTAACATGCTGTGCCTAGGTGGTAGTGGACTCTGCTGGCACAGGTGCTAATGAGGACTTGCAGAGAAGATTGTTTTTTGTCAAGCAGGTGCTAGTTCAATAGGAAATGGATTGAGATGTTCTCATTTCCTTTAAATTTCTTGACATCTTCTAGAAAACAATTTAGCCTTTGCCAGTCCATGAAACATCTACATACTAAGCAAGTCAAAGCTATAACATTTTAAGTGTATTATTTTAAAGGTGCAAGCAGCAATGCACTTTATTAAAAAAAAAATAAAATGTAGAGAAATTATGCTCATTTTTTGCTTTTAAAATACATTAAACTTTTTTTCCTTACCATCAGATCTTCCCTTACTTGAAACTCAGTAATTAGCAACATCCTACTAAAAAAAAGTGCCTTGGTGAGAACATTTTCACAAAACCTTCCATAATTCAAAGGATTGCAGTCTTAACATTAAAAATAGTCTTTACATCAGTTCTAATTGGAAGTTTGGTTACCTTCCAGGTGGTAAACATTGTAATTCTGTAACATGGGAAAGGAGACCAATGCAAATAGTGTTGTTTGGGGTGGGGAAGGAATCAATCTCCTATTGCCATTTTGAAATCTTCACTTATTTGATAATAATATCACCTAACAATCTGACAGCTGCTTTGCATGGAAGTGAAGGGACTTTAATTAGTCTTCAGTGCATGCTGTGCAGACTGTATTTTTAATATTTTGCCAAGGAAAATAGGGATAATTGGCAGAATAATTCTATGGCCTATTCATAGGCCTATTCATTCATAGGCCATATGGCCTATGGTTCTATTACAAAGAAATATATGCATTGTTCTGGAAAATATATACCTCTGGTAGACATGATAGTTTGGTTCTATCTGAGACAAATTGATGGGAACCAGACAAGTGTAATGATAGCAATAACTCTCTGATCACACCCGAGTCACTTAGAAGCTATAGCGGTAAAAAGAAATTTTCTAGATTTGTATATGTAAATCAATAATATACCAAAAAGTCATAGCAAATACTGCATAGCAATGTTAACCACTTTTGAAAATTATACTTCTATTATATTAATGCATTTACTCATACATTGCTTTCTACATATTAGTTAATGAACTCTGAAGTACCCCAGGGAAACAAGGCAGACGTGTATGCTATTATATCCACGCATAGAAACCAAGGGAATCACAGATGCTGTTAATGAGTTAGAATTAATGCTGCAAGCCACTTGGATAATAATAATATGCTCTTTTCATGAGCTGTCCTCAGTTCTTTGCTCTTGTTTAGGTTACATTGGAATGGTATGAGATGTCCTTTCTGTTACACAAGCCAAAGAGCAGCAAGGAAGACCATAAATGCTGTGAAATATATTGTTTTCATCAAAATTGCAGCTGCATTACTCCAACTTCCTTCATATGGACACGCACATAAGAATGTCTTTAAAGAAAAAGAAGAGGGAAAACTATTGATCTATTTCTTTTTTTTTTTCTTTTTTTTTTTGTTATGCAGTTATTTCTCTCATTTAAGAGCAAGCAGTCAGGACTAGGGTAGAATACTATAGTACAGTAACTATATATCAAAGAAGTCAGACTATAAGATCAATATAATATCTTCAAAACGAGAGGGTATTTCTTCTTACAACCTGGGAGTACACTCCTTAAATCTTTTCATTCAGTTTCTGCAGAAGAGAGGGAAAACAGTTTGTGGATTTCTTTTTTCAAAATTCTCCAAGAGAGACAAACATTTACTCTTCATATAAAGGCAGAAGAACAGGAAAAGGAAGGTAAAGGGAATTCCCTGGAGTTACAGAAAGCTGCATTAAGGGACTTTGCTCAGCACATCAACAGTTCTGGATAATGAGGCCAGTTCTGCAGCCTGGAAGCCTTTGAAACATACTTTTCCAGAAGAAATGATACAATAAATAGCACAATGCTTCTTGGCTGGCAAATACTGGCACAGAGAAAAAAAAAATCCCTTTCTATAACTCTTCTCCCCTCTCCATTGTTCAGAGAAGAAACTGATAACACATGACAAAGCACATTTATACATATTCAAAACAAAAGCCCTAGAACTGAATATAATATCAAGTGCAGCACCAAAACAAACAAAAAAAACAACGTATTAATATCATCCAGTACATGCTGCACACCAAGGTGCAAGGAGAGAATGGAAAAAAAAATCAGGGATCATTTGATTTCGTATCTCCAAAAGTTTGATCTTAGTTTAAATGTGTATTCCATCTCTCACGTAAAGTCAGGTATGCTCTGTGACTTTTGCAGTGCAACACCTGCTCAACAAACAAGTTCTGTCTACGCTATCTCTTGCAGCTAAATGTTCACCAAAACACAGCATCTTTCTGCGAAGCTGCAGCCTTCTGCTAGCATGCGTGTAGCGTGTAGAGTTCTAACCTCTACTTGACAGAGGTTAGAAACAAAATAATCAAGAGACGCAATATCTCAGAATAATAGAGTCAATTCATTGAGTGACTCATGAATTATGCTCATGAATAACGAACTGTTGCAGTAAATTAAACACTGTGTTTTAAAGTCCCAGTGAGTTCAAGCTTAAAGCAGAAAGTTTAGGAACACTGGTGACTTCTGATTTTTTTTTTTTCAGAAGCACTAATGTTTAAACAAAATTAACAGAGATGCTGTGAAAATACACACAAGTGACTGTAACAATATATGTGCATAGGATGTTACATCTCAATAAATACTAATAATCTCTGTTTCTATAAAACAAAGATTGTCTTCAGGCATAAAGTATTAATTCGAGAGCAAACTCTTGCAATAATTGCTGTTCCAGTCTTGGAGTTTTACTAATAATTTTTGGTGCAGATTACAGTGATATTTTGGTGTCCTATTAAAACAGATCGAAGGAAGAGCATGCACATTGCTAGTCTGAAAATTCTTAAGTCAAAACATACAGCTTCAATGGATGAGTAGATAATATGTTGCATGTTTCCATACCGGACATGCTATAAAGAAGAAAAAATGAATTAACAGCCGAAATATCCCACTGAGTTGCCAAAAAGTCATCTTTGAGACAGGATACCTTCTGTAATATTATTCCCGTATTTATTAAATCAAGCACCCAGAGTAATGTTCCAGCTCAGATACACCTCTTAGGGGAAGAAGTGATACAGCAACAGCCGTTCCCTTCTCTCCAGTTTACAATATAAAACTACTAACATTCTGTTTCTTATGAAAGCAAAGCAAAACGAAATAGTACAGATGTTTTTCTGTGCTCAATATTTATTTCTTGAAACCTCTCCTTCAGAAAGTTCAAACCAACTTCCTTGAAACAGAGTAGAAGCCTATTTTAAAAGCAGCTTTTTCTCCTCTGCAGTACAAAACAGCCCAAAACTCAGCACATTTGACTTCATGAAAAATTCTTCTTTGCTGATTATTTGCAGTCTACAGAAGCTCTCTGTTATAATTTTTACCAATTACCTGTCTTCTTTCCAGTTCGATGACTAGAGAAAAAGATCGTGGTCATATATACAGCGTTTCCCAAGAATCCTCAGTTATCAGAAGGGTGCCTGAAGACACGGGAAAACACTGATTGAGACTGCTCTCATTTGCACTGGAAGCCACTGTAGATTCTGGGAGATTTAATGGTTTTGCCAGTCCCATCCATCCTCTTTGATCTTGTATTAAGCACACACCAAGGATTCTGTGTTTTAACCACTGAAGGGTAGAGATGTCCTGCTGAAGGGCACACACTGTCCTAAGTGAGCACAAGAGGGAAAATGAGTCTCTGAATACTGTGAAAATCTTCTTCCAACATGAAAATAAACCATAGGTGCAACAGGACACAGTGATTTGCACTCAGAGAAAAATGTTAAGTCTAGATAATACTAACTAGATGATACTTATTTGTTTGATCTAGCTAAATCATTCATATGACAATATGACATATCATATGACAAAAAATGCTGTTGTTGAGATGCACATTTCATCCAGCAATTGAGGGGCTGAACTATGAGTGCAACCTAGTGATCTTGTGTATCCAAAACTCAAACTCCATAAAGAGATTATATTATGTGAAACTGGATGACAAAGTCTCACAAATCAAAGTCTTTTTTTAGCTTTTCAAGAAGTTTGGAAAGCCTCAGCATTCAAATTCAGGTCGGGAAGTCTTAGAGCCTAGCAGGATATAGAGGCCTTAAATATTCACAGAATAATTAGATCACATTGGAAATAGCAACCAAAAAAAAAAAAATTTTGTCACATTTCGTTTGCCAGCTGATAAAAGGTGCACAGAAACTTTGCAGTCACTATTCACTGTACAGGCCAGGGAAGTCTGAAAGTGACATGGAAACTCTTAGCTCAAGTTTACACATTACAACAAAAATTTTGTTATATTAGGTCAATCCATACAAATTTGCAAAACCTAAAGTTTATCCCCAAGGCAGAGCCTGAGCCAAACTGTACAATTACATGCCTTAATTTCAACATCCTTTATTTCTGACAGTAAAAAATGAAACAAATAATGCACTACATTTCAGAGAAGAAAATCATTGCTACTCCTTAATTGTACTCTTTCACTGGGCTGACCAAGGTCTCACAGGAATTCCTGTAATAAATTCCTTTGCCTAAAGGTGTAAGTTTGAGCAGCAGCTTTAGAAATTTTAGAAATTCTTATTTTTAGTAACTCATCCCATATTTTTCTTACCTCATTTTTCTTACAAGCAGTTGTGCTTGTAAAATTCTTTGTAGGAGTAAGTCATTAATTAATTATCTGATTAGGTTTACAATGCAGCTTGACAAAGAGTTATGGCAGCAACACTGACAGTGTTGCAAGATGATGGCCTGAGACGCAGGAAAAGGCAGGAACTCATTAACTTGTATCTTTGCCAAAGACTTCATACTTTGAAATTCTAGCCTCTCAGCAAAGTATGTTTCAACCACCTTTTTTGGACATTCTCCAATTTTAAAAATTAGCAGTCATAACTGTTACATGCAACTTTCAGTTGTCTCCATATTTGCAGGAAGTTGCAGCTAACCCACATCAGACCATCTCCCTACTTCTCTCGGGTGCTTTGCCAATACTCTAGTATTCCCCTCCCTTCCCTTTGATTCTGCTTATTTACTCTAAAGTCCAGCCTGTAATACTGCCTACAAAGTTGATTCTGCATAGCCCCCTAGCAAAGAAAAGTAAAACAAACCCCTTGATAGCTGCAATCAGTCCAAATTTGTCACTTGTGTGAAACAGCCACAGTTTAGGGAAGAGAAACTGAGCAGTGAGTGGGAATCACGCAAGAAGAACTGATGCCCAACACGGAAGAGAAGTTCACAAGCCACTTAGCTAAACAATTAAAAAAAAAAAAAAAAAAAAAAAAAGGAAGAAAAAAGACCTCTAGTGAGAGATAGTGAAGACTATCTGTGTAGTTTAATCAGGAAAATTAGCAAAACTATATAGCAAATGAGAAACTATATGGTACAAAATTGAGATCTGGTAGTCTGTAAGGGGAATAGGGTAAAGGTTACAGGAAATAAATAAGCCATTAGATACTATGAAATAAACCAGCTTCAAGATCCATAGGATAAAGACACTTGCAGTCATGGGAATCATGAGAAAATCATGAGAATAATAACAACAGTGACAGACAGGCTAATTAACACAATAGCTAAGGTGATGTATCATGTACAGATTTTATTTGACAGCCCTTTTAAAAGGTATAGCCTGTTCTTTGTGCAACATTTTTATTATTTTTGTTAACTTACCATTGAAAGAAAAGATGAGTCACTTGTCACAAAACAACTTCATCATAGCTCAGGTTTCAGCATGTGAAAGAAAAATTGCTATGTATGATACATGATTTATTAAGACAGTTTAGTAGCCTAAGATTTAGGAAAAAGAAACACTTCATTCCAGAGTTCGTCATATCCTCTTTTTCCCTGACATGTTCCAAGATGATATTTTTATGTTTTTTTTTCCACATACAGCAAGCAGAGATACTAAGCTGTGGTTACTCCTCATGCCCTATCCTAAAGCAAAACAAATCAATCAAGCAATAAAACCAGAAGCAGAAAAAAGAATCATAATAATAATGATTTTATGCCTCCAGAAGAGTACACGTACTTATTCAGCTGATTTTGATTTTTTTTTTCTTACAAAGCTTGGTGAAAATACATATGCTCTACATACTTACTAAGGACTATATTAACACAGCTTATACATAGAAATACTTACAAGCTCTTTTTATACAGGCACCTTAAGAAACCACAATCCTAAGCCAACAGTGGGAGTAGCTACTCATCTCAAGTTGATATAGCTGTTCCCTGACTCGTAGGGAGTGGTAGGGAGAAAGATGAGAGGAGAAGAAAATGAGATCTGGAAATCATCTCCTCCCTGACTCTCTTGTTCATGCAGCTGACCAGCTTCAAGCAGAGCCTCCCTATACAGAAACCCAGCAACTGGCCTTGCTTTTTATGACATTCTCTAAAACTTGGCTGAATGCTGAAATAAATGGACAAGTTTGGTCTGCAATTCATTATTCTCTATCTGTTGATTATCTTCCACTTCTTATGTCAACCATCATTTTATCTCACAGGCTAAAAATAAAACTAATACCACTTTCTGATATCTATTCAACATGATACTTTAAAAAAAAATAAAAAAGTGTTTCCTTTCCTGTTACCTGTGACTCCTACAGCAGGTGTCTTATATACTGTCAAACAGTAATTCACATGAAGTGCTTTGGAGGCCTTCGACTTGTCTCTATCAAATTATCTTGATTAAATATTATACCTTGAAAACTTTCTTTCTTTACTTTCTTTTTTTTCTCACTAGACTATCTCATGTGCTATTATTTCCCCTGAGAATGCATGTAGCATATTCAGCTTTTTATACACTTCACATGCAGCTATTCCATTGCATTTAAACACAGTTGAAATAATAACATTTCTGATGCTACCTTTACTCAGGAAAATTGGGTTTGGAATTGATGGGAGTTTCTTCATGCTGTTGTCTTTGCTTCCCAAATATGTCTCAGTCATTTTACTGAAATCTTTAGATTTTCTTCTCATCAAAAATGATGAAACAAAATGTTTCACTTGGGAGTTAGGATCATTCAGAGCCAGTTAAGATCTGTGAATAGCCAAATTTTGGATCATTTTTACAATGATCTGCATCAACATGAATTATATTTCAAATAGCTCATGCTTTCATTACCCCTGTTACCTAAGACTCTTTGATGGACTACATTTCCCAAGAGACATGCGCTCATACAAATCCTGGCATCTGCTAGGGTGAGGGTAGGAAACACCTGAGTGCCATTCACCACTGCTGAAGCCCTTAGCCAATGATTGCAATTCATAGCCATCAGTAAGGACACCTGCAGTTTCCAGGTCTCATCAAAAGCAATGAAGGTAAACATAGCATAAAGTTAAATTGGCCTCAAAAGAAAAAGAAGTAAAGAGTAAAAGGAACTTTTGAAATGTGACATTTTTAATAACCTTATACTCCGCCAGAAAAATGACTTTTTTTAATACTTCTAATCCATGACAAATACTGAATTTAGCAGAATCCCCTACAGGAAAAAAATGCTGAGTTTTAAATCAGCTCTAGTTATTCCTCCCCCTCATTTCATCTCATATCAGTATTTACTATGTATTCTACTGTTAATTTTTTCCTCATATATTTATCCAAGTCAAGTATTAAGCTGTTTTTTTTAAAAGCTTTCTTCTTTCCATCTCTCTGGGGTAGATGAAACAGACATCATGACTATATACAATATTTTACACTGTATATACAATATCATGACTATATACAATATTTTATACTGTATATACAACATCTGAAAGTACACTTAACATAACTGGTCTTTTTCTATTTTCCTTTTTCTCCAGCTTCCATGGGGGGAATGGAAATATGGGATGAGTTACTAAAAAGTTTCCTCTTTTATCTTTTCCATTCCTTTTGCTAAGGTACTATGAGTACTTATGCATTACATTCCAATATAAAGGCAGCCCTTAAAAATCTGTTGCAGTAAAAGCAAGTATTTTCCAGTTTGAAAAGAATAACTTAGGTAATTTACAAACAAAATCAAAATCATTGGATGTGAGAAACTGGGGTTCCATCATTCCATTATTTTTCATTTGTTTCTTGCTTAAATTACTGTACTTCTTACACAATCCATAGACACTTGGATTCGCTAACACTAACTTCAACAAGGAAATATTCAAAAATCCTCATAAATCTAGGAGAAAATCTTCATTCATAGATTCACAGTCTCTACTGGACATCCAGCTCTTAACCTCTGATATGCCTGTGGCTTGTGGCAGGAGAAATCTGTAGGAGGCATCCAAAGGGGTTAAACAAGCTGGGCACTGCTACCAAGCACATGAGGGAGAGAAAGGTTATTGAAAACAATGATAAATTAGGCCTAGCTAACCTTCTGTAATGAGATGATTAGCTCAGTGAATGAGGGGAGGGCAAGAGATGTTCTTTATTTCAACTTTTGCAAGGCTTTCAACATGTTTTCCCAAACTAACCTGATAGCTAAACTGGAGATGTGTATAAACGGGACAGGTGGACCACAAGGCAAGTGAGACCTAAGAACTTCTAAAGGCTCCTACCACATAAATAATTCTGTGCTTCTATGATTATTGATTGTCCTACCACATAAATAATTCTGTGCTTCTATGATTATTGATTGTATGATTATAACCATGTTTAATATCAGTTTTCCTTTGAAAAGATAAAAAAAGAAGAGAGCATGAACCTGAGAGCAAAGAGTGAGCTGAAGACTCCATTTTGCTGGTCTACTTTGCTGCATTTTGTTTGGCCTGCTGACCTATGTCAGATACGCACAAGTCTGGGCCTTAGAAAGACTAAAAACTTCTAAAAGAGAAAACAAAACAAATAAACAAAAACTACCGAATTCAATACAAACTGTTCTGCAATTCAGGCTAAAGCAACTTAGACAGTACAGACAACTCAACTGCAATTATTTTTTTTCCAAGCTATGTTACATTCTCTTTATGAAAAGAAAAAAATAAAATTTTACAGAGTTACACAACTTTCTTTCACATGCTGTAGCTTCATACTAAAGTAAATCCTGGTTTTGCACAATAGATTTCCATGAAGCCTAATAAATATTTTGACCAGAGAGGCTTTCCTGAGATACTCTAGAGTCCTGTCACAACCTGCTCCCAAGAATATAATTTCTTTCTGTCAAGAAAACACCAACTGCTTAATGATGGACTTACGAGAATCCAAATAAAATAGCCTTATCATTCCAGGAAGACCTCAAAATAACTAATGAATGACTAATATTAGGGAGTGTTTGAACAGCCAGATTGCTTTGAAAAGCAAAAGGCTTTGCCTTCACTCTCAGAAGGCCATAACCTGTGACTTGACTTGTTCTATTCTTTTTACCTTGGAAGCAGCTGTTCGCACATTTTGAAAATGCTGTCATGTTAGAACGAGAAGCCAAAATATATGTAAACTATGCCAATCATATTTTCATGCAAGCTTCTGTGGGAAGCTGGGGAGAATAAAGGCATGCTCAGCAAATGCCCCTCCTTTGCCTGGCCAGCTGTGTCTATGGCTCTGTTGGCTTTCTGAAGGCCAGTAATACAACAGTGTCTTAACATATGGAAAAAAAAGGGGGGGGGGGGGCGGGGGAGAGAGGGACTTACTTTCTCTCTTAAATGCACCTATCTCTCCCCATAAATATATGGGAAGCTGGAACCATTTGTCTTTTATCTCTAAGGTGTCTCAGATACATGGCAGAGTGGTCATATATAGCCATATTGCACTATTCTGTTACTAACACTGGGCCCCAAAATGTCAAAGTGGCAAGAAAAGTGTGCACAATGTGCAGCCTCTGGCCAGCAAACTATCCCAGAGTCCTTCCACGGATCTATTCAGACAGAGAGAAAGACAACTCCAGGCTCAGCACATTCAACAGGGTTTCTACTCCCCATTCTGCCTGAGCTTCCTACTGGGAGATGGGAATGAAGGACAGCATATCTAGGTGGGAAAAAATACCAATAGAACTTAGCAGTAAAGAAATCTTTACATGAAGATAATAATATCAATTAGACTGCCAGGGAATTCTGACCTCTTAACCGCTCATAGAAAAAAGAAAGGAAGTTATTTCAAGTCTCACCTAGAACAGACACAAGACAGAAGTTGATTATTCCAGTATAGAATTTCAGAAACATAAGAATGTGTAGGTAAAAGACAGGGTTTAATTGAAGATATTCTGATATGTGGAAAAAAAAAAAAAAGGCAAAAGGCAATTTTTTATCCGACTAGTCTAAGATTTTTTTTTTCTAAGAGAAAATATCTTTCCTGAGATGAATAAAAACATATTTATTGTTTGGTTTGTGAAATACTTACTACTATTTTTTTGGCTGTTCTCTGTCTTTCCACTGGTCCTCACACTTCTGCTGCTCTGAGTTTCTCTTTACTCTTTACTGTAGATCTCTTCCCTTCTCCTCCAGGTGTTTCTTCCCTTAGATTGTAACGTTACACTTTTGAAAACACAGACTGCTTCCCTAGAGCATTCCCAATGAGAGCTATATAAAAGTTGCAATGAAATACTCATTCCTCAGTCATCAATCTGACCTCCTTTTTCTCTTTTTGTTCTTATTTTTCTTTTTCTTCTGTCAAACCAGAAGAAATAAAAAATTTAAAAAGCCCTCGAATGTGGGAAACCCATATAGCTGAAACTCATAACTCTCAGATTCTTAGCCAAAAAAGAATCCAGACAGAAATTGTTCCTTAATAAAATCTGGAAGCTAACTTTCAATGTAGCCTGAACAGCCTTAGTAATTCAACTGAATTACTTTAAATCACAGAAAATTCAGCTTTGTTTTCAAGGTGTGCAAGAGCATGACTGGAATGAGACTTAGATAAAAACTGTTCCATGTCACTGAATAGCTTCATATATTTGGCTTCTAACTGTTTTTCTCCCACATATTCTGAGGAAATTTACAGTTAAGGAATAGGGGATGATATGTATATATACTTCCAGTACTCTTTAAAGATGAAAGATCTTTGGCTGCATTTATTACACTGTTCATTTTAACAATCAATTTCACTGCAAGTAGAGAAGCATTGTTACACATAATTTAGATTCAGGCTTTGAGGAGTTAAAGGATCTGATCAAAAATGCACAGATACAATCCTCGAGACAGCTGGAAACCAAGTGGGAGAAAAAGAAGTGGACAAGACCTTCCCCTCTGAATCCCATTTTTCTGCAGGATCTACTTTGAGCCTAGAAATTCATGCTGGAA